CTTTTTATCCTTATTTCTGTGCTTCTTTTCTTCCTGCATTTCCTTCTTTCCTGATTTCATTACTTATCCCCCTTATTTAGTTTCATATGTACTTCCTTCCTTCATTAATTCTATATTTCATATGTCCATCTTTCTTTATTTGCTTCCTTCTGTATTTCCTCATATCCGATCCCAAATAAGCATAGCACGGAGATGCAAATCATATAGATTTTTCATATGCAGTGAAGGAGAGAGCAAGTGTGCAAAGAAAAATATCTTTCTTTTAGAAACCTAGATGCCTTTCTGTGACATATTTGCCTATTCCTACCTTAAAACTCTCCTGTTTTGTTATTTTCCTAAGGTTCATATTCTTATATTTTGGATATATACAGCAGTTCAGGGAGCTTTGTGTAAAGTTTCAAGAGTATACAATTTTATTGTTAAGTGAGGTGACAAAACCTTGGCAAAATGCAGTGCCAAGAATATGACATTACTCTTGACTTATGCTCAAATTTGACCTAAAGATATGGCATGGCAAAAGCTAAGACAGTAAAGATGTAAAAAACAAAGTGGTATTCAACAGATTTAAGACCGTATTTACTCATAGCCACTTCATGCGTCTTAGATACCAATCCAGTATCAAAAAAGCCAAGCGTAAATACAGTACAACCAAGAAAGATTAGACGGATTGTAATCCGATTACTTAAACCGACATGGTGAGGTGGCAGTTTTTTTGGCCGTGTAAATGAAAGCACCTGGATTTTTTCCAGATTTGGGACAGTTGAATTGACAAGTTTAAATTGGGTCATAGATGCTTTGGAAAGAAAACTGTATGACAAGATACCAGTTAAAAACAGATAGGGAACAGAGGAGAAGACATAAGATAAAGGTCAAGAGCAAGAGTCAGGCATTTTTCAAAATATGCCTCTAAATCAATAGCATAAATACCTCTATCTAAGTTTAGCTGACTGCACTGGAAAAAAACTCTATTGAAAGCATTCAGCAGTGCAGCTTGTCTTCCTTGACTTTGTCCTGCAACTGATCACCAATGCCAATGCTATATGGTAAATAACAAAAAACAAATTCCTGGATTAAGATTAAAAGAGCAACAGAAGAAACCAGAGTTTTTTATTTTGGTATGGGAAAAGGTTATACAAAAGGTTTTTATTTGTCAGGTTCTGCTGTGCCTTTAGATCTAAGAAAAAGTCAATATGACAGCATCAGTGATACACTACATCACACCTTGTGTCTCATCTGTCATATCTCTTATGGATCACATCTATCACTGATGTTTGACACATTTGGCACAGTATTTCTCCTCTGTCTCTGTCTGCCTGTTTCTTTCTTTGTCCTTCAGGTAGTCTGCATCACCCACATGGTGGTTATGTACACTGCTCAAAAAAATAAAGGGAACACTTAAACAACACAATGTAACTCCAAGTCAATCACACTCCTGTGAAATGAAACTGTCCACTTAGGAAGCAACACTGATTGACAATCAATTTCACATTGTTGTGCAAATGGAATAGACAACAGTTGGAAATTATAGGCAATTAGCAAGACACCCCCAATAAAGGAGTGGTTCTGCAGGTGGTGACCACAGACCACTTCTCAGTTCCTGTGCTTCCTGGCTGATGTTTTGGTCACTTTTGAATGCTGGCGGTGCTTTCACTCTAGTGGTAGCATGAGTCTACAACCCACACAAGTGGCTCAGGTAGTGCAGCTCATCCAGGATGGCACATCAATGCGAGCTGTGGCAAGAAGGTTTGCTGTGTCTGTCAGCGTAGTGTCCAGAGCATGGAGGGGCTAACAGGCCAGTACATCAGGAGACATGGAGGAGGCCGTAGGAGGGCATCAACCCAGCAGCAGGACCGCTACCTCCGCCTTTGTGCAAGGAGGAGCAGGACGAGCACTGCCAGAGCCCTGCAAAATGACCTCCAGCAGGCCACAAATGTGCATGTGTCTGCTCAAACGGTCAGAAACAGACTCCAGGAGGGTGGTATGAGGCCCCACGTCCACAGGTGGGGGTTGTTCTTACAGCCCAACACCGTGCAGGACGTTTGCCATTTGCCAGAGAACACCAAGACTGGCAAATTCGCCACCGGCGGCTTGTGCTCTTCACAGATGAAAGCAGGTTCACACTGAGCACATGTGACAGACGTGACAGAGTCTGGAGACGCCGTGGAGAATGTTCTGCTACCTGCAACATCCTCCAGCATGACTGGTTTGGCGGTGGGTCAGTAATGGTTTGGGGGGCTGCACAGCCCTCCATGTGCTCGTCAGAGGTAGCCTGACTGCCATTAGGTACCGAGATGAGATCCTCAGACCCCTTGTGAGACCATATGCTGGTGCGGTTGGCCCTGGGTTCCTCCTAATGCAAGACAATGCCATACCTCATGTGGCTGGAGTGTGTCAGCAGTTCCTGCAAGAGGAAGGCATTGATGCTATGGACGGAATCCAATTGAGCACATCTGGGACATCATGTCTCGCTCCATCCACCAACGCCACGTTGCACCACAGACTGTCCAGGAGTTGGCGGATGCTTTAGTCCAGGTCTGGGAGGAGATCCCTCAGGAGACCATCCGCCACCTCATCAGGAGCATGCCCAGGCGTTGTAGGGAGGTCATACAGGCACGTGGGGGCCACACACACTACTGAGCCTCATTTTGACTTGTTTTAAGGACATTACATCAAAGTTGGATCGGCCTGTAGTATGGTTTTCCACTTTGATTTTGAGTGTGACTCCAAATCCAGACCTCCATGGGTTGATAAATTTGATTTCCATTGCTAATTTTTGTGTGATTTTGTTGTGATTTTTGTCAGCACATTCAACTATGTAAAGAAAGGAGTATTTAATGAGATTATTTCATTCATTCAGATCTAGGATGTGTTATTTTAGTGTTCCCTTTATTTTTTTGAGCTCTGTGATACTACTGTGACAGAGCCCCGTTATCAGAAACCCACAAGAAAAGAAACTGTCTTTTTTTTTCATTTGCAATTACTGAATATGCCCATAGACCTGCTTCTTGTTTCTTCTCTCTCTCTCGTGCACTCATGCGCAATGAGTATATAATGCACACTCTACACCTCCTGTTCTTTTCCGTCACTTTTGAAATGTTCCTACAAAACCTCCCTCTCCTCTTCCCCTGCCATGTAGTTCAAGGCTTTTGGTCTTCCATTGGCTGCTCCCCGGCTGTCACCGGGAATCACTGGAGTGGTGTGCGGAGAAGCAGCATGTAATCATACTTGCGAGTGTTCAGGAAATCCTCCAAAGTGAAGATATTTTGGAGTGGACAGTTTCAAGTTAGTAGTTACTTTTGGAATTTTGTATTTTATTTACATTATGGTAAGGTGTATACACGTAGATGTGATATTGGTAGGTCTTGAAAAACTCTCATCCACACAAGCAAATGGAACACACCCTTCTGCATTTGTTCATTTTCTTGCTAATGCCTCTCCTAGTGTGTCTCTCTGACACACACACAGTGTCATAATGATGATGTCTATGATCTCTCTCCTCGCCACCTCCTTGGGAGAGTGGGAAAGCACCTGTCTACGTGTCTTGGCACTACAGCAGTGCGAGGACAGCCTGTCATGACAGAGTCGGATGTTTTTTACTTGATTAAGTGGGCAAAATATGTATGAGTACATGGAGCAGGTGGGGTGTCCATAAGTGTCCTCTAAAGTTAGGTCAGTTTCCTTGTCTGGCATCTTGTGAAGTGTGAAGAACCTGATATGAGGAAAGTAGTACTTACAGTCTACTGTCTGTTGAATAGTTTGCAGCTATACATTGCATGTGTTTCAGCCAGCAGGTACTATGAGACTGTCAGTGGTTTTTGTCTCTGATCAGTGACACCAAATCAGATTTATCTGCATTGAATGTAAACGATTCTGATTCTGTAGCTGGGAACAGTGTTCAGTTCAGTTCTCATCTCAGTTCTCATTCAAACATGTAAAACATGAACAAAATTCGTTTACCAGGTCCACCAGCCTACAGAATAAATAACAAATTAAAATATCCATCCATTCATCCATCCATCCATCCATCGTCAACCGCTTATCCTGCGTACAGGGTCGCGGGGGGGGGGGGGTGGAGCCAATCCCAGCTGACATCGGGCGAAAGGCGGGGAACACCCTGGACAGGTCACCATTCCATCGCAGGGCCACACATAGACAAACAACCACTCACACTCACATTCACACCTAAGGACAATTTTAGGGTCACCAATTAACCTAGTCCGCATGTCTTTGGACATTGAAATAATATTAACTATAATAAACACATATTTAAAACCATAGTTAAAAACCATATGGCATCATTAAAGTGCCTTGTGCAGTAGCAGCAATGTGAGAGCAAAGGGCAGGGTGAACTCTAAGCCAGGGAGTTCATAAGCTTCACAGCCTCTGGAAAGAAGCTGCACGTTGGCCTTCTTGTTCTTGCTTTTAGGCTGTGCAACCTTTTGCCAGAGGGGAGGGTGGTAAACAGTTTGTGCGCCAGGTGGATGGGGTCCTTCATGATACCTGATGCTCTGCTCCAGCACCTGCTGACATAGATGTCATCTAGGGAAGGGATGCTGCTACTTGTTATTTTTTTAGCAGATTTAACTACTCGTTGCAGCGCCTCCTGTCAACCACAAAGCAGTTTCCATACCAGACAGTGATGGAGGATGTCAGTGTGCTCTCCATGACACACCGGTAAAAACAGGTCAGGATAGCAGGATTGAGGTCAGCCCACTTCAGCCTCCTCAAAAAGTACAGGCATTGGTGGGCCTTCTTAATAATGGTGGCTGTGTTGGTGGCCCATGTAAGGTCATTGGAGATGTGCAGGCCCAGATATTTAAAGGTGGACACCATCTCCACAGTTACTCCATAAATGAAGAGGGGAGAAGGTGAGGTATGAACTCTCCCTCTAAAGTCCACGACCAGTGATGACTAATGATCGGCTCAAATCTTGTTGGCTTTTTCAGAATTGCCAGCAGTGACCACTGAGTTGTTGATGTTGTTGTGTGTTTCTCCTCCAGAATGGTCAGTTGCAGCAGCGACTGGATAATGTCCAAAGAGACTTCATTGTCTTCAACAGAGAAAAGTAAGGAACCTCCATTACCTGTCCTACACACAATATATTGGTATAATTTTTAATATAATTAAAACTACTATGTTGATAATGGCAATATTCCAAATAAATGTCTTAATATCTTCAAATACTGGCAGTCTCCACAGTGGAGTTCAAAATGGGATGCAACTTCAATAGTGTAGAAGTGGTTTGGTTACAATTGATCAGCTTTACAACAAACCACAGGTATATGTAAATGTATAGACAATCTTATTTCACCACTTCAAGCAGAAGCACCTGGTTGAGTAAGAGGAGAGCCAAGAGCTCAACAGCTATTGTGAGTCCAAAACCAAAAATATTTTGTCATTTTGTCAATAATTTCATATTCCAAAAATACCTTGAATATCAGGGTTGGCTGAGTGCAGAGGCAGGTTAGGACCCAAACGCAAGACACAAAAGCAAGATGCAATGCAGGTGGTTTATTTAAACCAACAATAAATTAAACAGGCTCTCACTGGTACAAGTCCAAACTGAGGTAAGCAAAGGTAGGGTAATCCAGAAACACAGGGACAGGACAGAACGCTCAACAAAAGACAACAACAAGGACCAAACAGGGACTAAACAAAACTGAGGGCTTATATACACAGGCAAACGAGCGGGGAGGGAAGCACAGCTGAAACACATCAGGTAATCAAAGAGGAAGCAAATCTAGACAAGGACACATGAGTACTGAATACTACAAAGTAAAACAGGAAGTAAAGCACACGGGAACACACTAGAGCAGATCTACCAAAGTAAAACACAAAACATGGAAAGGCAAAATCAGGGCATGGACTGAGACCGGACCAAACAGGAGACGGGACTACACTAAAACATTGAAACCTAGGACTAGGGACTCGAGCAAGTAAAAAACATGCAGATAAACATAACTAACATTGCTACCAAAACCCTAAACATGACAAGATCAAGTAAGTCTTATAGAAACAGAACCCACAACCATGAAACCAGATAAAGAGTACACTCGGACATGTGAATGAACAAACAAGGCTACACAGAGAAACACAGAACCAGAAACAGATTTAAACAGGATCACATGAACACAAAACCACATCCCTAACATTGGAATATTGTGATATTATTTTATGGCCATTTCACCCACCCCTACTACACATTCTTTACAACCAACACTACACATCATAATATTGCCATTGTAGTGTTAACACTGAGGAAACATGACAACTGTCAGTGTTGTGAAACTAAAAACATTTGATAAACAGTGCTTGATTTTCAAAATAAAGATGTAATTTTAAATATTTAATGTTCTTTTAAGTAAAAAGGCACACAATATTTAACAAATACCATTTGGCTGGCTGTATGTGTGTTAAAAATATTCTGTAGATTGTAGCCCTAATTTGAAGAGAAAAAAAGTTTTCCTTGTTGGCTGGTGAAAGCATGCAGGATGGTGTGAAAGGACAGTAATGTGGCTATTTGTGGCAGAAGAACTGGCCCATATATGTGGGTGTGTGACTGAGGCAGAAACACAGCGACTGGCAGAGAGAGAGTCCCCATGTTAACTAGATACTGTGTATGAAAAATAGATGTTTCTGGAAGTATATCCAAAACTGACAGACTAACTTGCATACAGAAAATTATGATCAATTTCAGCTTCTTGTAACCTGTCTAAATCATTTAACAATCGTATCCTTCCCTAGAGCATAAACAAAAGGCATATCAAATAGATATTAAGCTCATAGAAGATTAGGATTTTGAGGAAAATAACTAGTAAAAGGCTTGCATGATTGTCCAGTCTTGCACTGGCTTTTGCTGAAAGATTGTACTTGACAATAGAAAAAGGATAAATATGTTAAGGATCAGATTTTCTAGGGCTTTAGAAATTTCAAAAAACTAAGCATAGCTACCTTCAGAAGAAACAATGAAAATTTAAGTTAGAAATTTTAATATAAAATGTGAATTATAGTGTATTTGTGAGTGAAAAAATGTATGGTCTTAAACACACAAAGAGTAGGTCAAACTGTTTGTGAAACAATACAGAGGAAATAAAGAAAGACAGCCAAACTAACACACTAGTGAGACAAAAAGCCCAAATTAAAAAACTAAACACTGCAAAGCAATATTTGTTTAACAAGGAATACATGACATACACAAAAATCAGGCTATACCTTATTATTTTTGCACTATAAAGTATGGCTGAACAATACACAGTATAGAGAAGCCAAATGTTAAGGTAAACTGGTAAAAGGACCTTCACAAGGCCATTAAGGTAACATAGTAACATAGTAAAATATCTTACATCAGCCTCTATCTTTGGCCAAAGCTTTTGGTAAAATTATAAAAAGCCAATAACATTGGTTGCTAACATATTAGCAGCTCATCTTCACCATCACAGGGCAAAACATGAGTTAGATAATACAGTATCAGTACCATTAGTTACATTTTGCCCTGTTAAAGCTTTGGTTAAGAAAACCAACCCATTCTCATATCTCAAGTCATCACATATGGATGCATGGTCAAGACCAGTTACCCGTTAGTAACATTAGCTACTAACTTTGTCCATCACAGGATCAACATCATGCTAAAATGATGAAATGTCAGTGACATTACTTACTAACTTTGGTCATCACATAGCTACGGCAAAGGTAAAATGACAAAAGACTTCACATCACATGGCTAGAAAGTACACAAGCACAATGACAATGGATACAACAAAAACTTGCACTGTCACTGTTAATTCAATATTAACAAGAGATGTTCTTTACTCAACAGGTCAAGGAAAGCAGTGGTGGATATAGAGTCCTCTGAGCTGTCCATGAGTGAGAAGAACAAGGCAATAGAAGATGGACAGAACAACAATGTTGAACCGGCTGCCTACTTATCAGGATAGGGCTCATGACTCGAAATCCCTACTTACTCCCTTATCACCTGCACCTGCCCACAGCTTGTAGATCAGCAATTTACACTCAGACACCTATTGTTCAGCACAGGCACTCAGATTCGGTCTTCAATGTTCCTGCACCACTACATTGATAAGAACACAAATGCAGAATGCATCACTGATCACACACAGAAACCACATTATCAAGTGCTCCAGAACTGTAGTGAAATGGAACCCTGGAGCAGCAGCCATGCCACAGCCAGGCTTTTTCGCTTTACCGTCACAGAGAAGACTGACTCTCAGCCGAGTGACACTCATATCATGCTTCCTTACATCACTCTGGTGCTCTAAGGTCTGCTCAACCTCTACTCTGGGCAGTGTGCTGAAATGAAGAGGGAGTCACTCCCCTGCCAAAAAGGAGACAATGCCGCACCTACTTAGCTGTCGCAGGAAATAAAGTTGGATGTGGTCACCTTTAGCTGAAAGTTGTATATGCTGCTGCTGTCTTGACGGGACACTCAGATTTTTTATCTCAGTGAGGCATTTTTCTGGTTAATTACAGTTATTTAAATATAACAATGGTTCTCCAGTGCCACATGGAAATGGACTTAACAAGAATTGGCGTAAGGAGTTGGGTTGGCAACATATATTCAAAAACAACGTCATAGGAAGATGGTCTTGTCCCATGTGATCTACATGACTTGAGATTCGAGCTTGACACTTAAGAGTACAAAACATTAAAATGGAGAGGTTTAAAAGGTAAAACGAGGCCTTTTGCTTTAAAGACAGCAACCACAGATTCCTCTAAGATATAAAACAAAGAGCTGAACTGTAGGCTTCAGCGTGAATGGCTCGCTTTATCATAGCAGCAGATACATGGTTGCAGTGGTCATTATGCTTAGCTTTAGCTAGTCAAGCTAACAAAGATGGTAGGATTGCACCAATTTGTACAATGTCCCAACTCGATCACCTGCAGATATAGTCAAAACAAGCTGCAAGTTTTCTTCACTTGTGTATGCTTTAAGTTACGGAGTGAATACAGAAATATGTATACGGAGTTGCTCAGTTAAGGCTACCAGATGTGGTTGAAAGCTTTGGATACACCAAGTTAAGTGGACCTTCTGATGAAAGTTTTTTTTCTGTCAAACTGGTGTTAAACTCCTTTAAAACATTTTAGACTAACCTTTGCCTCAATCTGCAAATGACCAGATGGGTCTTGAAATAAAGGTTTATAGCTATGAAAACGTAGAAAAGGTAGATGGTAGATGTTCTGCACTGAACCTTGCTTTGCACATGCTTCTTCATCAACTGTAGCATTTATGCACAGAGAGACAAAGAAAAACTAAAGCTGTGAGTGAAAACTTATTCCCCTTTTATAGACAAGGTTTAAGCTGAGTCCTACATAAGATTAATTTTTTCAGTTACTGTCTGCATTGAAATTTGTTTTTGTCAATTTTTTTTTTCTTCCTCTTTTGTGTTGGATAAAACCAATTACAAATGTGCCACCAGATAAGATAAATTTGTATTTGCAATGAATTGCTCCCATAGAAGAATACATTCTGCAACATGCTTGTGCAGATGGTATTCAACAGTAACTCAGCACCAACCGGATAACACAGTGGAAAAACCTATTGACTTTCACATTTTTTCAGGTTCAGAGTAAAAAAACTGCAAAAAAGGAAACAAATAAACACCAGAATAGGCACTACCCCGATTCATACTGTAAGCTTTACTGTAGAAGTGGTTAAAACCATGTCTAAGAAACCACACCTGCCTCTGACGTTTGCAGAGGGATGCCTTATACCACAGATATGGCACACAGCTGGTTCCCTTAAACAATATGTGCAGGTAGTAAAAACCTTTTTCAGAATCAGTCAGTACATGTGATTTCTACTGATGCTTAGTCACTCTATTGACCTTGAGCTTATCTATCTGCAATATGACTCAATCCTTTCAAGTCTATGATACTTGTAATTATATTTAAAACATACTTCACTCTATTCAATTCATCACTGTTGGCACTTTTCTATTGAAAACTGATACAAAGTTTTAGACTTACCTTTGTGTTATTGTTGTTGTTGTTGTTGTCGTCATTGATGTAATTTTACATATCCAAAGGTGGTTTCCTGTATAAGTTGTATAATATAGCGGGATAGTTAAACAGATGGACTAATCCTGGGTAAATCCAGAATAAATAAAATTTGTGACTGATTATCGGAATTTGTTCATATATAATTGGAGTACCAGATGGTACAGATGTGGCAGATAAACCCCTCCAAAAAGTAAATGTGTAAAATAATCAGTTGACCCAGGCAAAACCATTTTTCAACAAAACGTCTATCTAAAAACAAGTTTAGTCTGGGAACAGAACTGTTCCACACCTGTGAATTTCATTCCTATTAAGGTTTTGTTGTCCTTCAGTTGTCATTGTGTGTTTATTGTATTCATATGTGATGGAGTTGCAAACTATTAAGGTGTGCCTTAAATAATGACTTTCTTTTTCTGAACCAATCTGACTTTGCCTTGTGCTTTATTTCATTGTATGTCTGCCTGAATTACCATATTTTATTGAATAAGGATTATGAAGTAAAATGAGACAAACAATGACGCCAGTAACCAAAGCAAAATCAAGAATAGTTGGGGAAATGGAGAAAAGGTTATTCATGCCAAAAGGTGTGCTGCATGTGTGTAGGTGTTGATTGCTCTCCACTATCCTAAATGTAATACTGCCCCCCAATGTCAACTTACTAGTAGTACATTTAGTAATCTACAGAGAGGCACAACAACTATGGTTAACATGCACAATATTGAAAAACCGCACTATTGACAAGGCAGCCGCAGGGAATGGCAAGCAAGCGCAACAAATGTTATGTTATGTTCATACCTTCTTGTTTTACCCTTCACTGTGTGTTAAATGAATAAATCAATACTTCAAAAAAATTGACAAATTATACGAGGGCCGTAATGGTTCAAGCACTGCATGGATCACTATGGGGCATGGGCTGTCCGTCAGCTGTCTTGAAACTTGGAAGCTGTTAAGTTTTGCTATGTTTTATGTTTATTTTGTAGGTTAGCTAACTTGGCGTTAGCATATTGCACGGTTAATGTGGCTAGCAGGCAGGGCAATGTTGAACTAATTAAGGTAATATTGAGGGTCAGTCAAGAGAAACTGTGTGAACGTTAAGCTGATGAGTTTAGTAAGCTGGATGCCTATAACTCTTTGTTTTTCTTTTTGTGGAACTTTAGCTATACTACAGTGCAGTTGATAACGTTTTTTTTATTTAACCAGATGTTCTCATTGAGATTTAAAACCTCTTTTACAAGAGAGACCTGGCCAAAATAGCAGCATATTGACAAAGCAGTTACAAATATGAAACACGAGCACACGCACAACAACAGAGAACAATTAACAAGACCCTTATGATACATAAACAAACAACATTAGACCACTTAAAAGTACAATTTATACATACCGTAAGTTTATAGGATTTAGTTATTTTAAAAGCAGTGACAACAATTTATAGCGTCTACTTCCAAGTCTTTCATGCTGTGTTTAAATTCACCAAAAGGGATCAGATTTTGCAACTGCAAATCAGTCTGCAATGTGTTCCAGGTGGATGGGGCAACATAACTAAAGGCCTTCTTACCGAGCTCTGTACGGACCGTAGGTACAGATAACAAATACAAGTTACCGGAGCGCAAATTATAGGAACTGATATTGCATGATATATAAGTGCAAAGATAAGAGGGTCTATGCAAGTCTATGCAACATAGACTTAATGCAACATGAGCCAATGTATGTGCCTCCTCACTGATAATGAGGGCCAGTTTGTCATTTTGTACAAGGTACAATGATGTGTTAATGCTTTACATTCAGTCACAAACCTCAAAGCACTATGGTAGACAGTATCAAACAAAGACAAACATCGGCCAGGCGCATTTCTATAGAGCAGGTCACCGTAATCGAGTGCAGTGAGAAAGGTTGCAGCAATCAATCTCTTCCTGGTTTTCCAAGAAAAACAGGCTTTGTTTCTAAAATAAAGTCCTACTTTCAGTTTGAGCTTTTGTACCAGTTTATCAATGTGCGACTTAAAAGAGAGCTAATCATCAATTAATATACCAAAATATTTGTACAATTGGACTTGTTTGATCTGCACACCATGTATAGTAAAAATACCTGGAAGACTGTCCAGAGACTTCTTGGATTTTTAAAAAAGCATAATCATAGTTTTCTCAATATTCAAAACTAGCTTTAGCTGATATAGTTGAACCTGAACAAGGTTTAAAGCAGATTTTAAACAAGAAAAAGCTTGATGTAAAGTAGCAGCCTTACAATAAATAATGGTATCATCAGCATAAAAATGGAAATGAGCCTGTGGGATGTCTTGACCCAAGTTATTAATATAAATGGTAAATAAAACTGGACCCAAGACAGATCCTTGCGGTACACCACTTGATACATTCAGTGTTGCAGATTTGAGATCGTCAAAATAAACACACTGTGTTCTGTCTGCCAAATAGTTGGTAAACCAGTCAACAGTATGGTCAGAAAAACCAATATTGCGTAGGTTTTCCAGTAAAACGCAAAGGTCCACTGTATCAAATGCTTTCAATAAATCTATAAAAAGATACACAGGTGTTCTTGCAGTCCATTGCTTCAAAAATTTCATTAATGACCTTCATTGCAGCAGTAGTAGTACTGTGCTGCCTTCGAAACCCAGACTATGAGTCAGACAAAATATGGTTGGAAACCAAATAGTCCTTTAGCTGATCACCAACCAATGATTCTAAAACTTTAGCTAAAACTGGCAACTTGGAAATCGGTCTATAATTATCCAAAAGCGAGGGATCACCTCCCTTTAAAAGACGGAGTACATAGGCCAATTTCCAAATTATTGGAATCTCATTGTTGACCAGGGTGAGGTTATAAATGATTGAAATTGGTTTAGCAATAAAATCAGCAGCTATTCTCAAAAAATAAGGCTCTAGATCAGAGGTCACTAATAGGCTGACCTACAGCGGATTTATTATTGTGACTTACTACCTCGTGACGGAGCATTTCTATTTGAACCCGCGCAGCTTTTCTAGCATTTACTGTACTGGTTTAGCGGCCCAGGAAACTCACAGACCAATCGCATGTGCTCTAATCATCTCATGTGATACTGCTCAGCCAATCAAATCTGTACAGTCGAGTCCACGTCCGTGAGTGAGATACACTGGAGACGTTTTGGAAACGCACACGGACAGAGGAGGCGGAAGAGAAAATAGATTTCACATGGCTTTTAATCAAGAATGTACAGATTCCCACGGGCAGTTTAAAAACAGAATATCTCATAGATCTCCAATCGTAGCTGGCAGGACAAGAGAAAGTAGGGAAGTGGCTATGTAAAAGGGAATGAAAGAGAGAAGGAAGCATTACAGCTGTTCATTTGCTAAGATGTGTCAAGTTTTAATTATAAAATTGGTTAAGACTGCACTTCATCACTTCAGCTACACTTTTTATTTACTTTTTTCTAAAAATCTGGCACTTTACATAGTTTAGAATTAATTATTTCATATTTATTATCCCTCCAGTTTTATTTGAAAACTGAATATTGTTGAAATATTGTCAGTTGTTGACTAAAAACATATATGTTGATACAACTATACGCTATGGCCCTGAATGATAACCTCTTTGAATTCTAATTGAATACCCCTGCTCTAGATTATCAGGACCAGGAGATTTACTTGGGTCCAAGGCAATGAGAGCTGTTTGCACATCTGCGACAGAGAAAGGCGTTAGGCAAAAGGCCTCTTTACTCACCACAGATTTCGGGAGCGGTCCTGAAGAATGTAAGCAGTCACGGTTGCATTGCTTGGAAGGAGCTGACGCTCAAACAAGGAACCAGCTTCCACAAAGTGCTTATTAAAACAAACTTTTCTGATATGACGACTTTGTCATTGATAATACATGGAGGTAATTCATTATGAGAATTTAAAGTGACAACCGATTTCAGTGCTTTCCAGAAGTTTTCTGTGGTAGCTGCTAGATAAAAAACTGATTTTTAATAAAAAAACGTGCAGCGATTGCGCAGCCAGATTGCCTGGCTTTAGCCCAGACTTGGTTTCTCTGCTGAAGAAGATTAGCTAACTCTGGGGGTTACCATGCGTTATCACGTCCCTTTACCCTTAACCTTTGGAAGGGAGCATGCTTGTCAACAATTCCAATAAAACCATCATAAAAATATTTCCAAGCTAGCTCCACGTTGTCAATAAGTGCAATTCTGTCCCAGTCAAAGTAAGACAAATCATGCAAAAATGCTTGCTCACAGAAGTGCTTCAAATTTCGTTTAAAGATAATTCTAGGTTTAATCTTAGGGAGTTTTGTATTTCTTACTGCTGCAATGACACCGTGATCACTTAAATCATTAGCAAACACACCTACATCTGAATATTTATGAGGTTTGTTTGTTAAAAACAGGTCAATAAGAGTAGATTTGTTAGGATTTTTGGTATTATGTCTAGTGGGACTATTTATTATCTGAGTAAGACCATTACAGTGATTTTTAAAATCATCTGACACAGAGGATAACCAGTCCCAATTTAAATCTCAGCAGAAGGGGGTCTGTAACAGCCAGTGATATTAATATGCTGACCTTTGGCTATTTCAAGGTTAATGCTAAGATCTCAAATTGTTTAACAGTAGATTGAGAAAATAAGATCCTGGTGTTAAATTTAGTCTTAACATAAATTGCAACACCACCCCCCTTCTTTAGACGATCACAACGGAAAACTCTATCACAATGTTCTTATCTAAGGTAGATTTTTTAAGCCAGGTTTCAGAAATTACTAGGACATCTGCATCTGTTTGAATAGCCCATGTTCTCACCAAGTCTATTTTTGGTAATAAACTACAAACATTTAAGTGAATAAAACTTTTTAAAAAAATCTTCAGGAGTACTAATGGTGCTTTCAGACCAAAAGCAAAGCGAGCGTTCGGCGCGGTGAGTTTACATACAAAGTCAATGCAAAGACGCGTAGAGCCACGATTTCCTGTCGGGCTGCGCATAGCGATGCAAAGGGGGCGGGGCATGGATTCATGTGTTTAACAAATCTGCATCATGTTGTAGTTATTTTGGCATCAGTTTATCCGTGTATTGCTATTTAATCACAGCAAAATGTTTACTTTGGGTTCATACAATTGTAGTAAAGGCGAGTTGTGTTTATTCACGTTATCGCATTAAAATCGCCTTCTCGCGTTGTGTGTGAACACTTGCAGCGAATGTACTCACGCGAGGAAAGCGTCGTGAGGCGAAAATTCGCGGTTGGTCTGAATGCTGCATAAGACTGTTAATGTTAGGGCCAGGATAAGGATGTAAATTTCCTGAGATTAAAGGCAGGGTAGGCAACTTTTTGTCATATTTGTTGAAACTGTCTATATACACCAATACATATTAAAAAGTTAGGTGCACTGAAAAAGAGAGTATAAAAATCGGCTGTCTGTAGTCCTCTCAGCGCTGCAGTAAAC